ATTTCCAACTTTTCTGAAACTTTAAATGAGGTAATTGTTCTTTGGAGGGCTATTATTGTTCTCCCCGCGGTGTGTCTGCTGAACACGTTCGGTATCACGGACTGTATGCATAATCTGTGTCATTTCTGTGCGTGCGCATAGTCGCCAGCCAGATTTGGTTTCTGGCCATTCCAGACTGACATCAAGGGTTTCCTGTGAAGTTAGGTTTGCTCCCAGGCACGAGTGCTGCATGGTCCTGTTTCCAAAACTCTGAGCCACTCAGTCACGTGCATTTTCACTGCTCGTCTATCATCTGGGTGATTCAGGAATCAACAGATACAGTTCTGATTCATCCTGACAAGGTAGTTTCACAGAAAAATAATAATTACAAAAATCACAGCAAACCATTAAAAGGATTTATTTTTTTTTTTGAGAGACCAATAAAACCAAGTTGTTCATTTCAAAAACATGCTTTAAAAAGCTGAATCGGCACTGTTGGAGCTACTAAAGCAAAACAATAAGAGTAATGGTCTTTAAAATGCATAAAGGAAAGGGATGCAGAAGTCTGAAGTTACACATTTTGCAAGTACGGAGGATTCACTTGCAGTAGGAAATACACACAGGAGTTGTCTGTGTGTGTGCCAGTTGTTTCCCATAGGCAAAGGATCACAGCTTATAATAGTATTCCCCACACAACTATAAGATGCAGTGGCCAGTGTGCTTATAGATTGGTAATTAAATACAAAGTAATCCAAGAAAGAAAATATACAGTATGTATTCAACACCGGCGCACTCAGGTGATGGAAATCTCTGGGGTCTCTCGTGTCAGATGATTTATACCTCCCATTTCATTGTTATGTTAGAAACCATTCACATGATTTTACTCTTAAAAATCTTCTTGTTCTTTGACAAAGCCAGGTAAAAATACTACTTGCTCTATGTTTTGTTGCCCAGAACACTCTCAGCATTGGAAGCGTCTGTTGGTATGTTTTACATAACCTTGAAATCAACCTGTTCTAAAATTTCACTCGATACATAAATGTTCTATCAATAACTAAAATGGTTTTCATTTTATCAAGGGAAAATAAATATTTGGCCAGTAGATTGACACACTCCTATTTTTCCACTAGGATTAATTCATCCAAATACTACAAATGACATTACGTTAGGCACTGCTGGTTGCAGTTTTCAAAAATAGTTTGTGAGCACTAGTATTGGCTTCGCTGGTAACTGCAGGCACGTTAGGAGATCGCAGTGCACTCTAAGAAGGAGCAATTAGCAAGGTTACCAGTCCAGCAAAATGCAGGTGCTGTACCATGGACACCATCTGAAGGAGTACCTGAGCTAAACCCAAACATACTCCTCTGCTCTGTGGTTATTTTCTGCAGGGCACAGAACATGCTACTGACTTTCTCGGCAAGGTCCCTGGCCCTGCAGATAGCAGGGGCTGGCTGTGACGGTTCCATGGGGAGTTCAGTGTCCAATTGCCATGCAAGGCATCCGGTTTAAACTGCTGTCAGCTACTGCTACCCAACCTTGTCAGTGTGGTTCTGCTCTGGAGCAAAACTGCGTCCTGACAGAAGCCTATGTCTACATCTTGATCTCCTTAGGAAGCTGTTCCGTTATGCCCGCAGGTTCCAGGCTGGGAGAAAGGCAAAACGGTGAGGCATTTTTAAGGAAAATTGCCTGATTTTGCTACTCGAAGCATGTCCAACTTTCTGCTAGTGTATGTGGTTCAGTTGCGTACTAACGGATTGGCTTGCAGCTTACATCTCTCCTCCTGAGGAGGTGGGAAACCCTTCTGTCTGAGGCAGAGGAGAGCCTTCACCCCTGGTGCCCCTCACCTTGAAGAGTATTCGGTTGTCTGCGTCACAGAGTCGTGTTGTATGGTAGAGTTTTAACCCGTGAGGACGCGCGGCCAAGCCCCTCCTGAGCTCTTTCACCAGAACCTGTCTGCTCTGTGCATCTCCCAGGAGTGAAGCAGAGACTGGAGCTGTACCCCGCGGGCGTCCTGTCTCTCTGCTGGGCACGTGGAAAGGGCTCGGGTGGGAGACAAGCCCACCCTTGTGACTCCCCACAGGCTGGGGGGGAAGGTGCACTCGCAGTGCAAAGCCTGCTCCAGATCAAGTAGGAGTGGAATGCCAGGCTGCTTCCTGGTCACCCTATGCAGTGCTAGAGAAGTTCTGCTTCCATGGGGCGGTGAGGAAAGGTTGATTTTGGTACAGGGTCTCACAGCTAGGAATCCTGAGTGGAATCACAGTGTGGCCTGAACTATCTTTGAGAATGGGGACGAAGACCCAGGTCTTGTCCTGAACATTTTCTGCTGATAAAGTGAGGGCTGCTGGCTGGCTCCTGTGAGACCTCATGGCCTGAGTGAAGGACTGGGAAAATGTTTCCCTATCAGAAACAGTGAAAAGCAGATACAAGTTCTGTCTATCAAGCTCATAAGTACTGGCTAAAAAGTGTTTTCCGACATCTCAAAATATGAGAAACTCGGAATGCGTTTCTTTACCATACTGCATGCTTCTACAAAGCATCTTCTTTTTCTCTCAAAGATGCGAATCTTGCGCAGGTTTCTAAGCTGAGTGTTAAAAACCCCAATATTACAAGTTTGTTATTTATTTTTTTAAGGCTTTCACTTTCAGAGACCAAATGCTGTTCTGAGGTGCACTACTGTACGCCCTGGTTTCAGTAGGGTTGCTTCGTTTTGCCTGAGAACGATTTGATAAAGATCTAGCCGTGCTCTCATTTTCTTCCTTGCGATGGAGGAACAGAACCGTAACATTAGTCAGCAGTTTCTGAATTCTGACCCACAATAGCAAAGATACTGAAAGACAGGAGAAATAGATGGAGGCAATTACAAACAGTCACTTGATGGATGGTTGACATTGTTAGAGCTTCAGCTGTATGTCAGGTTGCGGTGGTGCCGAAGCCCCATCCCTGCCGGTGGGTGTTGCCATGGGCAACAGTGCACTGAAGCCAATGAAAAGGCGAGGAAATGAGGGGAGACTCAACCTTGGGGGAAGCGGTAGGGTATGCACTATAAATTATGTTATACTTAGCAGTATGCACTATCAAAATTCAGGAAAGCTACGTGTATCTGCCAGCAGCACAACGTCAGTTCCTAGTAGCTGTTTCTCCCCTAGGTTTTGTATGGCTTGCTGCTTACTATCCTGCATCTGTCCTTATTCAGGGAAGAAAGGAGAGGTGAAATAATAGCAGAAACACTTCCATTTGGTGCATGTATTCAGTGCTGTGCAGTCTGCATTTCTGCTCCTTCCCCACTTCTTTCTGCCAGATGTGGTTCAGTTGCCTACTACCCTAACAGACTGCCTTGCAGCAGGGCTGGAATTTCCAGCTACTCTCCTATACACACCACAGCAGCACAGAGGGGTTTTGGTTTGTTGTGTTGTCTTTTTAGAAGTGATCAGCAGATTTGTTGTTTCTGTTTGATTGTCAGGCAGATGTAGTCAGCTTTTCAAAGGCGCTAATTGACTCACTTTCCTCAGAAAGGAGGAAAGCTCTTTGTAGCATCTGGCCAGCTGGGCCAGGTTGTGATTTCTCTGAAGTCGCTGCCGGTTCAAGGTAATTCCACTGAAGTGAGTGGAGTTTGGCACAGGTGTAAAACTAAGCTGAATTCAGCTTTAATTTCTGCTCCCAGACAATCCTATATTTAGAATCACGTTTCATGGAGTACAAAAGGCTTTGTTTCCCTATGAATGGGAACCCCAAAACACTGCAACATGACTCCTCTTGTGTCGGGTGGTGCAGCAGAGAAAGCACCCTCAAATCACAGAATTGCTGCACTAGTGATCTTTGCACTGACAGAGACCAACTTCCCGGTAACACCAGTGTCACCACACAGAACTAGACACGTTTCATCCTGACCCATCATGTTTGTTAGATTTTGATGAACCCCTCTACCACAGACCCGTGGCTACATGCGAGCCTTGACTAGCGCTGCGCTAGCTGTCGTGACAGCATCTCTGATTGTACTGAAAGAACTGCAAGAGAAGGAAGAGGTAGTCAGTCCAGTATGATGATATTCTTCCTCTTCACTGTTTCAAAATATGAATTTCAACTGGAAATTAAACTAGAAAAGCTTATTCATGGTCCAGTTTTCAATGTAATATGAACCTGAAGCACAAAGCAACAGATTTCCTCTCTTATTTTATTCTATTTTCATTAAAACCTATTCATCTTTTCCTTAGGGGACACTGTAATTTAAAAACAAAAGAATGTGTTAAAATAGCATTTTTTTAAAGAAAAAAACCCCACCAACCTCTAAAATTACCATGCAGTATTTTGTTTTTATGCAAACTTCCCCTTGCTGAGAAATTTACTGCGTTGTTAATATGAATTTCTCAGGGAAGCAGGGACAGGTTGGTGTTTTTAAAGATAATAAAGTTTGTTGTTAAATGTAGCAAAGGTAGGCAATTCTAAAGGCCCTGATCAATCACTAAGAAGCTTTGTTGTAAAAAAATACTTCTTTAGAATACAAAGCAGGCTTTTCAGAACATTCAGGCATAAAAGAGGAGGGAAGAGTGAGAGAGGAACATCACAAAAGCAGGCATAATTGATTCATAACATGTACTGAAGAGATGCAAAACAACAATGTAATTACATACTATTCTGTTTTCCTGCAGCTCCTTGCATATGAATTGACCAGCTTGCATCCCAGTTCTGCTCTGTATTATTAATTTTATTAAGCTGTAAGTTCTTATATTTCAGTCTGTTGTCAGCTTTACAGATTTTTACAGCAGCATTTGAAATGTAGTGGAGCTGAATGAATGCTTCTTGTGCTGTCTTCCGTGTCGCTCCAGATACCAGCGCAATCGTACCGCAGGCCTTCCTTTCAGTCCCACTAAGCCTCCCAGTAAAAGCAAACTGTGCTGCCATCGAGATAATATCCAATCAATTAAGCTGGTCTGTGAAAGCATTTCTTTAAAAAATGGCGAGCCTAAGCTTACAAAAGCCTTTCAGACAGCTCTTATTGTAAAGCCACGCTGACATTTGCAGGCTTAATTTATGTCTTTGAGTGACACGGAAAAGCCAGAGGAAAAGGAGGACGAGGATGCTGCCTGAGAAGAAAGTCTTTTTTGGTGCAGCTCCTCCCATTTACCTCTGTTTACTGCCACTGAGTCCAGCATAGGCTTCAGTTTCCCATTCAGCTTCACTAGACACTGGAAGGAGATTAAAAAAAGAATGGAGGGTGAGAGAAAAAATACTGACAGTATTTCCACTCCTCTGATGGGCAGTCCAGGGAGTAACAGGGTAAAAGCGTTTAATATGCACCATGCCCCCACCCTCCTCGTCCCCAGCTGTAGATTCCTGTGTAGGTACAGATTGTTGTTCCCACTGAGATCTCTTTACCTTACTCGTTGTACCTGAGGCTTTAAGTGAGCCACAAAAAGTGTCAAAAAAAAGCAGCACATAAGGTGGCAGAATTGCCAGTCAACCAGTTCAGCTTTCTAATCTTAAAGTCGGTCCTTCTGAGGCATCCCCCAGGTGCCCAAGGCTATCTGGTGGCTGGCATCTATGAACAGGGGGTTCACTGGTTCCATGGCAAGTTGGACAAACCTGAAATAACCTTCAGATTCTCCCTAGTGCTAGATTCTTGTTTCATTTTGATGAGTAAAACACCACAGTACTGGGCTGTCCAGAGCTGCAAAAATATTCATTTTGTGTGCTCAAATTAAAAGAAAAAAAACCCCCTGTTTTCTTTTAGATTGCACTGAAATATGCTCTTTTCTACATACTCAGTCCAAAGATCAGAAGCCAGTAAGAATGTCTTTAGCTGCTTTAAGTTGGCTTTGAATGACCCCCAAAATTACATAATCTCTGCACAGCTTTGCTAGATGTTTATTTCACTTTCCTCTTTGGTATCAAATACTAATGTGGAAAGACCACAAGTGCTTCACTTGCCTTTGTTCCCTACATTAAAGAGAGTCAGAACCTCATTAACAGCAGCTCCTGGATGTCAAGAAAGGGTTAACTAGTTACCTCTCCCAAGGGGTCACCTAATGTGCTCTTTCAGGACTTTCAGGAGTATCACTGTGTTGCAGCATTTCTGATGAGCAAGAAGTGGGTTTTTCTGAGAGCTGGCTATCACGCTTGCTCTGATAATATGGAAACTCTGTATTTGGCATTAGCAATAAAGGGTTGGTGCAAAGGAAAAAAAATAACGACAGCAAAGACAGCAAAAGTTGTTCTTCTAAAACTGGCAAATTATTAAGGAAAAGAAAGGAAAGAGGAAGCAGGTACTTTTGCAGTTGATCATTTTCATTATTTGCTTTAAATAGCAGGGTTAACAGCAACCACTTTAAACAGTCCCCAGAGCCAAGAGCCCACTAAAGACTGGATTTTTTTTTTATTTTTTTTTTTTAATAGCTAGCCTGCAAGCCATGGGAGCTTGGTTAGCTACTGAAGTAAGTCTTGGTAGATTTTTAATTGAGCTATTATATGATAATTAAGGGTTAATGGCCTGATTTTAAGATGTGCTGAAAACTTGCAATTTCAGTTGACTTCTGTAGACTCAGCACTTCTGGAAAATCACGCCATGAGTAAGAAGCTGATTTGTGTGGAACTGGAAGGAAATCTGCTTGCAATTATTTCCTTGCAATATGGCACAGACGGGGCAGATATTTTGCAGCCTTGGGTCTGGGGTAAGAGGCAGAGTTTACTGCAGTCTCTGCCACAGACTTGTATTGCTGGCTGGTGATGGCCACAGGATAGAATGATGTGGATTTGTGACATTCCCATCACTATGCCTCAGAGCTCCCCCTTTTTAGCTCTTTCTTTTCAAACCATTCTGCATTTCTCAAACCTGGCAGAGTCCAAAACAGAGGGGCAGTAATGCATTATACACACCTGAAAAATACCTGAAAAGCTCGCTGCTGTTATCACTAGCACCTGCATTACCACTGCAACTCTGTGTCTAGAGGTAGCACAGTAGGTAGTCAACTCTTGACAGCAAATCATCAGATCCTTCCTGTGCAAAGCCAGTATCCGTCCACTGGCAGTTAAGCTTGCTGGTATGTCTTAAATCTTGAAAAAGCTTTTGTGATGTATTTTTCCAATATATGCTTTGGATTTAAAAAAAACAACAAACAACAGTGTTTAATAATCAGTGTATTTCAAACATCTCTAAGCATGACGGTGGCATTCTGCACTCACACCCTGTCACCCCAGGGTCTGTAAGCACAAAATGCAGTGCAGTCTGTTCCTGTCATAAATGCTACACCAGCGACCTGTACCTGCTACAGGTAGCGTAGGGGAGAAGGAGCTCATTGGGACGGTGACTCTGTCGCAGCGTGGCTGTGCAGCTTGCGGCTATGTCTGTGTCCTTTCTATACTGGTATTTTTTCCAAGACTGACCACAAGCCTGGGAGCAAACGCAGAGGTCTGGGCATGACCTACTGCTGTGCCTGTCCCTCCAGGCCCAGGCAGATGACACACTCCTGTGGTAGGAGGCAGCCCTCTCGCATAGGGTGCCAGCAGGACTGGGAGTGCTTGAGCTGCTTAGATCAATTAGCTTTGCATCAACCTCAGCAGGGACCAGGAGCCCAAATAGACTGGGAATGGGTTCAAGAAGCACCCACACAGTTCTACAGTAATCACTGCATCTTATGAGCTGTAAATACATTTTAAATCCAAAGCTAAATACATGTATTTCTTAGAAATATACACTTAAGTGCACATTGCAGAGTCTAATAACCCAGGTGCATCAGAGGTTACTAGGTAAATAACAGGAATGGTTAACTACCAACATTAACTTTGATGAAATAAATTAGGAGAAGTGTTTAAGAATGAATAAACCATATCTTTGATGTTCAGTTTTGCCATAGCCCAAGCAATTAATTCTATGGAATGCTTACAAAATATACAGTGTAATTTTAAGAAACTTTGTTTTGTTACACATTAATTTAGATTGGGGATACTTGACAGTGCAGTTTTTGCACTCCGTCTATAAAATGTCTTTATTCAGACATTGATTTGATGTTTAAACCACTGCTTCTGTATTTAGTATCCTTTCACTTTAGGACTCTCTCATTCTGATCTAGTCTTTTAATTAAATCAACTACTATAACTCCTATGGAAATGAGCTTTTATTTTATTTTTTCCAGCTACGAAAGCATTTCAGTAGGACTTTTCTGATACAAAGTACACAAATTGGATTTTATTTCTGCTTGAGATGTAATTAAAAACTCATTTGATTACTATATATCTGGCCCTGCTTTAATTTTTAAACTCCAGGAATCAATTTTCTTTTATTAAGCTTCTGGGAAATTATCTCAAAAGCAACACATTTCTCTCCCTTCTGGCAGTCACTTGACCATTTACCGAATTACTTCCATAGCACCTGTTCCTAATCCAGATTAAGCCACCAATTTATTCCCAAAGCTATTTAAATTTATTTGGCTCTAGCCTAGTCAGGCTCTTCTACCTCCTGGCTGCACTTTTTCCATTTTACTGTGCGAGAAGCCCTTGATGTACTGCTCCTCTTTGCCTCTTACAACAGCTTTGCTAGGGACCTGTCTAATCTGCTACCCAGCTTCTTAACGCCCCACTTACTATTTGCTTTAAGGAAGAGGCTTGGTCTGACCTGGGACACCACCCCTAACGCCAGAGCTCCAGCAGCGCCCTGTTTCCTCACCCCACCCTGGTGCAGCAGGCTGTGAGCTGGCGGGTGGCCGGCCATGCTCAGGGGGTGAGGGAACCCCTGCCCGAGGGAGTTCCTGTCTCTCGCCTGGGACCTCAAGCCCACTTGCAGTCCTTCCACTGGAAGGCAGCTGCCCGGCTACACAGCAGTAGGTACAGGACTGGTGACCCTTCCCAATTTCATCCCCCTCACTGTAAAGCTGTTTGCAATAGCAGGGTGGTAAAAAGAGCTGGAAGAGCAGTTATGCTGGCAGCTCAGAAGAGACAGGTTTGCCATCCCCTTCTGCACCTGCGTGTTGCCTCAGCTGCGTGACTAACTTGTTTCTCAGGAAGTTACTGTATGGCACTGACTTCTTACCACCTTTGGTTATTTAGGTACCTCTTGTGACTACGTACTGTTCTGCCCACAGCATACTTTCACAGGGTGGAGCTCCTCCACCACAAGAAAAGGTTAAAGGCACTTCCATGGTGTGCACCTGGGAGAGGGGCAGGGCTGCCTGGAGGAAGAGCATGAGCTGTTTAGAGTGAAGCTATTTATGGGAGAAGGTAAGGAGGGGAGAGTGGTTTTTTCCTTCGGTACAGATCTTTATTTCTTAGGTATGTTTTGCTAGATAAAGCACAGAGAATGCGTAAATAGAAGTAGTAACAAACGCCTTTGGGGAGAAGGTGGTGGGTAGTGTTAGAGGCATTTGTTGGTAGATCCACCTCCTGGGTAGAAGCAGGGGGAGGGAAGAGCACTTCATCTGCTCCATCACCTTCATCTCTGGGAAAGGATGTTAGCTGAAACAGCCAAGATGCAACACAGACGTGGCCAGAGTCTCAACTAGTGCTAAAGCAAATGCAACATTTTATTATATTCTAGGACTAATCCCAAATCCCTCTGAAGAGGAGCACAGTATGCACTAACTTAGAAACGCTGCCGGATGGCCAGAGGCTATACTTCCCCCCCACCCCACCCCCTGCCCCAGAGATTCTCATTCAAATATTGACCAATTCTGACCTTGCTTAACTTATGAGCTTTGACAAGATTACAGCTCATGGAAGTATGGTTGTGCGTCTAATATTTGTAAAGTGAGTTTATGGAATAAGCCTATATAAATTCATTTTTATGACTGAGCACATATCAAAAAGTTATAGGTCTCGCTGTTCACTCTACTTTGGAATCCAGTGGTTTCTAATGAATCACTTTTATTACGTAGGCAGTTTCTGAGTTGGAAGGGAGGACTAGTGACCGAGAAGCCATAGGGATAAATTCAGGCCTGGTGTAAGCATATGAAGCATTGCTGAAGTCAAGAGAGTCGTGACCAGTTACAGCACAGCTGAATTGGACTCCTGAGTTTTGCTGAAGTGGCTTTCACGTGAGAATACGTAGGCCAAAGGTGAGCCATCTGTCTGAAAGTCCTTGAACTTCAGATTAGTTCAGATAAAAGGGAACCTGTACTGCAGCCATCCACAGATTTGATCTTCATCACACAAATACTTGAAGTTGTTTTGATAACCCGAAAGTATTTCTGCATATGTA